CTTCCAACACTATAACAGACACATACAAAAATTGCTTGCTTATCTTTGTGAGAACTGATAAAGTTTCTGGTGAATGAAACCATCTTGATACAATGCCATAATCTCCATATTGTGGCTTATTAACATACCAGTATATTCATCCATTGATATGCACTAACCACTAGCAAAGTTGACCTTGGTTTGTCTTGTGTGCATCAAGTAATACTGTATATATTTTACTTGGCACATGTAACAGTGCATCCTTTAGATCTTCACAACCATGTCCTAAAGTATTAATGTAATTAACATTAGCTATTTTCTCTGACATATTAATCATAAAGGACATGTCATTCACACAAATTATGGAGAATGAAAGATGATGAGTAATTAATTCCTTTATATCAAAATAGTAGGGTAGTAAATGTATACAGGCAGCTTGAGACTTAGTTGTACATGGCCTCACTTCTATTGGCCTTGACATTCATCAAAAACTGTAATAAAAAAAATGACATATGCATATAAGTTAGTTACTGTTTAACAACAGGGAACAATTTTACCTCAAAACGAAGTTCTATTATTTTTTATTTTAATTTATATTATATATATATATATATATATATATATTTTATATATTATATATATATATATATATATAATATATATATATATATATATATATATATATCAGGCAATCTTAACAATGCAAGACAAGCCATGGGGGGGGGGGAATCTTTAGCTCAAATACTTTCACACTTTTCAGTGTGTCATCAGGAGCTGTGCAATGTTGCAAGGGTACCAACAGGCAAAACAGGGTAAGTTTTGCAGAGTATGGTAGCATGGTGGCACCAGCCAATATCTGACTGAAGGAGAGAGGCCAATGGAATGCCAACCACACACCAGTCCCCCACACCCCACCCCATATGGGGTCGGGTAGAGTAGGCCCCACAGTTTGCAGACAGCATGAGGTACAAAAAACTAGGAGATAGTTAACAGCCAGCCCTAAGCTTCTAACCATTGGGAATAGGTCATGTGATGTAAGAAGTTACATTACAAAAGTGGATCATTTACATACAGAATGAAGCTAATGTGAACAACCTTCTAACTAATGAAATAGAGGGAAAAAATCCCTCATTTTGTCAACCGGTAGTACAGCATTCTAGAATATTCAGGAATACTCTCGGTGTCATTTAATATGCCTGTGTGAATTCTCCTATTCAAGCTTTTCTTTCTTATAATAACTAGGCAATTCCTTATTTTCTTTTTAACACCATGTACTGCTGTACCTAGATGGGTCAGGACCTCAATAGGTCACTCTGTCTCTCTTTTGGGCTATCCTAGGATGATTGCACATGTGCACCCATACCTAAATGAACCCCCATGCCTACTTCTTTACTACTGATGTTATATCACTCAGATTGCAGTCTGTATTGCAGCACACCACCTAGAGCGCCTGTAGCATTACAATACCTGTATGCAGTAGTAGTTGGGTGGGTTATCTCGACGGTCACGGCAGACCTAACATGCTAAATATTGACATTTGCAATGGACTTAACAAGATGTTATGTATTATATCAACGTTCACGACAGGCATACCATGCTGTTCGATTTGCAGACTCAGGTTGAACATAACCAAAACATCATGAAACCCCCTGGCATAAGGAGCAATCCTGCACTTTTGTATAACATTGTTGTTTAAGGCTGTGCACAACAGACTCCACTAAATACCTATCGAGTTTGTACAGCCCATAATTTAAGTTATATATGGCATTCCTATCGTATTTCAAGAGGGAGGACTCAATTATGTTTCTTTCCATGATGGAACTGTTGGGTACAATTACCTGGGCGGCAGCCCACCCCTCGTGGCTTGTCTTGCATATACAGTGGAACCTCAAAAATCGAACTTAATCCGTTCCAGGAGCTAGTTCTAAATTCGAAAAGTCTGAAATTCGAAGCAATATTTCCCATAAGAAATAATGGATATACAATCAATCCGTTCCAGAAACCCAAAATTATTCACACAAAAAATACATTTTATAGAGATTAATTACAGTTTTACATACAACAAATACTATAGTTTTTAATTATGTATAGCAATACATATAACATAACATTTTTACTTACCTTTATTGAAGATTGGTGATGGCATCTGGAAGATAGGGAGGAGGAGAGAGGGAGTTGGGGTTAGTGTTTGGAAGGAGAATCCCCCTCCATGAGGACTTCAGGTAAAGCCCTCACCATGTCTTACAACATTGTGTATGCCACTACGCTTCTTAAATCTGTCAAACGAGCCTCTGCTGGCCTTAAATTCACTATCAGCACTGGTTCCAGGAGTTTTCTGTACCAGATCGGCATGCAACTTCCTTGCCTTTTCGCAAATAATCGTCTCTAAAATACTATCACCTGCAATCTCTTTATCCTTGATCCACACCAGCAACAATTTCTCAAACTCTTCAACTATTTGTGGTCTTTTTTTGGTTAGCATATTAACACCTTTTGCAACTTCAGCTTCCTTGATTTGTTCTTTCTTTGACAGGATAGAACAGATGGTCAACTTGTTTTTCCCATACATCCTGGCAAGCTCAACAAGTCTCACACCACTCTCATACTTCTGTATTATTTCCTTCTTAACATCTATGGTGTTTCTCACTTTCTTTACCACAGGGGTACTACTAGCAAGTTTCTTTGGGCCCATGGCAGCTTATTTCACAGTCCCACAAGCACTAAACACAACGAAATAATCGTAAAATGCGTGAATGAGACCGCAGGTTAGTGTTCACTCAAGCATAAACAAAGCTAGACTGATCACGGCGCCTGCGCGAGGACGCGGGCAGAACGGGCCAAGAGACAGGTCCCGTACCCGGCGGTCTGAAAATAGGGGTGCGTTCGATAATAGGGACACTGTCCGAAAATAGGGGTGCGTTCGATAATAGGGACACAGTTTGTCCGAAAAAATGGTCCTATTTTCGAAACGTTCGATATGTGATACATTCGATTTTTGAGGCTCCACTGTATATATATATATAATATATATATATATATATATATATATATATATATATATATATATATTATATATAATATATATATAATATATATATAATATAATATATATATATATATATATATATTTATAGATATATATATAATTACAAGTATATAATATATATAATATATCAATATATATAATTTAATGTTCGTGTTATACGTATATACAGGGACCCCCACACGATCACCCCAAAGCGACCAATTATGTTAATATGAATTTAATGTAGGTGCGTTTGTACGTAGATAATGTTTAGGGGTCTGAAAAATGGACTAAATCTAATCAACTAATTTCCTTATGGAAAAAATATTCGGTCAGTACAGGAACCCTGACAATACTGGAACATGGAAAGAAAAAGTTCGTCACCAGGTCTCACAGTACATACAAGTATATGAATACATACGTATATAACACATGATTATACCAGAAATATACACATGGTATATATATTATATATACCACACACACACACACACACACATTATATTAATTAATAAAAATAAAGAAATGAAATCTAATGAAAGAAGTGAAACTTCCTGATGAAGCTGTAAGAAATAAAGATGATTTGCTAAAATAGATTACTGAATAAACAAGACAAACAACAGCAACATAAAAGGGATACAAATGCAGACATTAATTTTCCTAGTGATGAAAAAATATTGTTTACACATTTTCTTCAAACAGAACCCTTTACAATACTGGACACATGGGAAAGTAAAGCCCCACTGCAGAGCTCCGTCACAACACTTACAAAGACAGTGACTACAAGTCTTGCACAACACATGCAATTATGAACCAGAAATATACCCATGTCAGTTTGGTGCTTTCTTTGATTATAGTAATGAACCAAAAATAATGAGCCAAATATTATAAAAAAATAAAATTTCAACCATACAATGCTGAATTCCTCAAAAGAATCTTTGAAGAATCGTAGTGGGTACTGAAATATAACACTACACTAGAGGGGTAGAACAGGATGACATACTTTGCTAAGTTGATCTCTGCAACTCAACCAGACTAAGTAAATTTGTGGGATAACCAAGATTGAGATTAAAATGATGTCTCCTTTAACCAGTATTTGTTATTACTCTTTATAACAGGTTCTGCTATTAACATTTTCTATTCATTTCTTATTTTCACAGTACTTTCTGTTAACAAAAATTAGCCCATTTAATGAAAGCAATAAGGTAACACAAAATATGTTCTAAATTATGCCATGCTGGCATCTAAAGGTACAAGTGTCCCTTTTATGCAGTAGATGTGTTCCAGTTCCATAGCAGCTCTATTATGATCAATCACACCATCAACACTTAATTCCGAGTCTTAAATGGCTTCATAAACCACATGTATTTGCAAGCAGCAAATGTATATTGTACACAAAATTATGAACTGCTTAATCCTTTACATAAAGCAGTCCCTCATAGTGAGGAGAACCTGTTTAATTACAATATACATTTGAGTGAAGCACTGCCAGAACATATGCAGAACCATACACATGACTAGTAATGCACAGTTGTAATGCATGCACAAATACAAGTGGCTCCAGTTACACTACAAGACAATAGGTAGAACTATATATGTAACCAACAAGAGCTACATTTACTTGCTTTAATTTTCTTTGAGCAATTATTATTCTGGCATGACTTAATGCAAACATTTTCATAGTGTTATAGCTTTAAATCTTTTATTTTTGAGTTAAAAATACTGATCTGACAGGCTACTGGAACTTTACCTTTTCCTTTTAATTTCATAGTCTTTCGATTAAAATATGAAGCTTATCTAATATCAAGTTTCCTATTATATGAATCTATTAATATAAGAAGTTTGTGGTTAAAAGGTGTTTTTTTTTCTTTAGCCACTATGCAACTAATGGTCTCTAAACCAAAAACTGAAAGAAAAAAGTTATGGACATAACTATTAAAATTGTTTTTTCAATTAAAAATTATGATCATGGAATGCTTTACAAATACGAACCAAGTTTGAGATGATACAAATTATTTTATTTGCAGGACCAAGGGTAGGGATACTCAAAACATACACATGCAAACATGTTTCATGTGGAACACATGACTTGTTAATGAATGAATGAATGTTTCCTACTCAATGTGTTTTGTTTGTACTTTGTCAAATGAACCTAAACACCAGTCATAATATTTTCTTTTGACTTTTTACATCCAGCATTGGCTCTTTATTCATGACAAAACAGTCCCTCCTGACAGCCCAAATGTTTTCAATAACAAGCTATCAAGGAGGAGGTGACCAGTAATAGAATTCCTTGGGATACCTTACTAATGTTTTTCCTTTTAAGTGTTAGAATAAATACTATAATCAATGGAAATTTATATATGCAATACAACTCAACAATAAATTACAAGTACAGTTGACATTAATTTCAAACTTAACAAATATCAGAATCTGTCAGTATGTTAAAAATAAATAAGAGATAAAATTGACGTCCCCCAACTAGGCCACAGTTTTCTTGTCACTCAAAAAAAGACACCAAACTCAGCACAGCCTACCAATGAGTAGCTGACACAATGTCTTTACGTTTCACTAAACATATCTGTGAATTTTACCTTTAACTTCTTTTCTTATGCTTTGCCTCATTAAATTTAAATTTGGTATTTTTATTGCAAGAAATATTCCTACCTCACACATTAGCAATTGCTGAAATACAAGACACCCAGGTGTTGGGTCAACATTTTAACACCTATAACAACTGTGACTGTGTATCCTTTCCTATCCTCTGAAATAAGATTTGTGTTTTTTAGTGGCAGCTGATCCAGCCTAGGAAACTTTTATATACACAAGTTACCATGACTGAATGTACGACTGCTTGGTGATAAGTCACCATTATCATCGTTGGAATCACTCGAGTTTATCGATCACATTTCAGAGAAAGCACAGATCTTGGCTCATGTTTTCTAGCAGTTTTATTATCATTTTATAAACACTTGTATCATAATTAATGCTTTTCACATTTTGTCCTTCTTAGAAATGCTATACACAAATTCCTAAAATCTTATACCTCACTCCTGGAGACGTATACCTACATAATAATAGTAACTACCTTGGGCCTTTGTGCCTTGCTCCCATCATGCATGACATTGCCACTGCAATTTCTTAACAATGTAAATAGGTAATTGATATTAAAAGAAGTCAGTATTCAAAAAAGCACTTTGTGGAACAAAATAAATTATGTAATTATAAGTTCATCATGTGTTATAACTTGGAGACACCCACTGAAAATATAGCTTTACTAAAGTCTGGGAGGTGGCTCTTGATTACTTTCTTTCACTAAAATATTGTCAAATTTTATTCTGGTACAGTTTTGACTTTTTTATCAGTGTCCTTCCTAAATGCTGACGGAAATCTTCAGTGTCGCTGACACTCTGCTTGCCTAGCAAAGGAGAGAAGATGTCCTTGGCAGACAGCAGAGGCCTCCCATTGACGAGACACAGTGAAGATTCAAGCTGGTGGGACCTTTAGTTGAGAAACCAACATCAGCTGAAGGTAGGCACTCTGAAGGGGCCGGTAGCGGGAGAGAAGCAACAGTGCCTCCTCCAGTGAGAACCACTCGCGCTGTCGACCTGCAATAACAATGACATATAAGTCACAAGAAGATGTGTATAATTTTGGTGGTGACCCTAAAATAATCACAGGGAAGTGCTAAGCATGTAGGAGTCATTCAGTGTTTGGGGACTGGAAGTAGGAAATTGGACTTGACCCAAAGGGAAAAGAAAAGACAGTTCAAGCCCCAATGGAAACCCTTTCACTACCGTAAAGGGAAGGAATCTTTGGTATATGACAAAAAATGACAAAATTCAGAAAAATAAAGAAAAAAAACAAATACTCCGGGACTTCAAGCAAAATACCCTAAATTTTCCAAATTTTTTAAACCAAAAATTCTAACAAATAATCCTAAGTACTATCTTGGGTACTAGCTGACTGGGGTAGATAGTAAAAATTTCAGTAGAGTAAAAAATGACTATTTTTGATTTTTTTTAAAAATTATGAGAGAAATTTAACAAAAACATCAGGACACACACCCACACACACACACACCACACACAACGTCAAAAAGGATTTAAGGAAGTTTTTACAGGGGGAGACGGGAAGGCCTTGGCCAGACCAGATGGGGAACCAGCAAGGATATACCAACAAGTGTTGGATACATACATACAGATGAGGGGGGTGAAAACTCAAAGGGGACATTGATACTCAAAGGCAATGGGACCGACAACACTCCCCATGGGGCCTTAAAAGGGAGCGGTATGTTGTTGTGCCACTTACCACAATCTCAACCGTCCCGAAATGGGCAAAACCGGGGCATGGAAGACGGCAAAAGTAGTTCCCTTTTTAAAAAAGAGACAGAAAAGAGGGATAAACATAGACCTGTGTCACTGGTGTATAGTATGCAGATTATGGAAAATTATCAGGAAGTGGTGGAGCACCGGAAAAGGAACAAAAGGGAAAACGCCAACCCCATGGATTTATGGGAAAGGGAAAAACCCGTACAAACCTTTTTGGAGTTTTATATAAAGTAACAAATTTAAAACATGAGAGAGAGGGGGGGTTATTGCTCTTTGGACTGCAAGAAGGCCTTTGACACATTCCCCACAAAAGACTAGGCGAAGCTAGAACAGGTCAGTAACAGGAAGGGGACGCAAGGATCAGAGAAACCTGCGGGGGCAACATGACCAGGTAGTTAAAATTATCACGTGGGCACCTGGACGAGCGGGGGGGTCCCAGGGCTTCCCCGACCCGTACTATTTTGGGAAGTGAATGACATAGGAAAGGGGTTTGACCAGAAGGTCCTTTCGCGCGAGGAATTAAGGGGAGAATTAAATAAATGAGGGCCGGCAGGACCCAAAAAGACCTGGAAGACGGGGCCCTGTCCCCCTGTTCCGAATTTAAACCCCCCCAAAAAAAGTCATGAAGATAGGGGAAGGGCACAGAACACGGGTGGGAACAGAGTATAGGCTAGGTGGAAAAAAGGGACTGCAAGCCTTGCTCAAGGAGGAAAGATCTTGGAGTGAGTATAACACCGAGCATGTCTCTGGAAGCACACATCAACCAGGTAACTGCTGCAGCATATGGGCGCCTGGCAAACCTGAGAACAGCGTTCCGATACCTTAATAAGGAATCGTTCAAGACACTGTACACCGTGTACGTCAGACCCATACTTGAGTATGCAGCACCTGTTTGGAACCCGCACTTGATAAAGCACGTCAAGAAACTAGAGAAAGTGCAAAAGTTTGTGACAAGGTTAGCTCCAGAGCTAAGGGGAATGTCTTATGAAGAAAGGTTAAGAGAAATCAGCTTGACGAAACTAGAGGACAGGAGGGTCAGGGGAGACATGATAATGACATAAAATACTGTGCGGAATAGACAGTGGACAAAGACAGGATGTTCCTGGGAGGGGACACAGAAACAAGAGGTCACAATTGGAAGTTGAAGACACAGATGAGTCAGAGAGATATTAGGAAGTATTTCTTCAGTCATAGAGTTGTCAGGCAGTGGAATAGCCTAGAAAGTGATGTAGTGGAGGCAGGAACCATACATAGTTTTAAGACGAGGTTTGATAAAGCTCATGGAGCAGGGAGAGAGGACCCAATAGCAACCAGTGAAGAGGCGGGGCCAGGTAGGACTCGACCCCTGCAACCACAAATAGGTGAGTACACACACACACATACAAACATACATACATATGCGCTGATAAGACTGAAACACGACAATGTTTTGGTCCGACTTGGACCAGCCACTGTACTGTGACTATTATTCTGTATGAAAGATATAGTTTTGCAGTGCAGCAGAAAATAATGAGCCTAAGTAGAAACTGCATAGTTTGCAAACTACTAATGTACATAATGCCACACTGACATTAAATGCAGATACACATCCTTAAAAATCATCCACAAAACCCACCCTTGCAAAAAAAAAAAAAAAAAAAAAACCTTCAGAGGCACATGTTTTTTTGTGAGTTTTTATAGTTTATTTATTACTTTCAAGGGTTAAGCAAACTGTTCACAAGCAGAGAGATCAATGGGCAGCCATTAAGAGCTTTAACAGGTAAAAAAAGAGGCTTGAGTAAAAGAGAAGAGGAGAATGAGTGAGGCAAGAGGGGGGAAGAGGGACAAGAAAGGAAAAGGGATGACGAGAGGGGAAGTGGTAAAGAGAGGAAAGAGGAAGAGAGAGAAAATAGGAAAAGGAAGAAGAAAGGGAGAGGGAGGTGAGAGTAAGAGAAGGAAGTGTTAACAATCAACAAGAGGTCACCCTGTGTCCAAGATGATTCACTCTCTTAAGTATGCTAAGTTGGTAACCACTCACCCACAGGCTACAAAAATCCTCCCTCTTTCCTCCCACTATTCAAGCACCAATCATCCTCCCTCTTTCCTCCCCACTATTCAAGCACCAATCACCCACAAGCTACAACCATCCTCCCTCTTTCCTCCCACTACTTTAAGCACCGCTCACCCACAAGCTACAACCATCCTCCGTTTTTCCTCCCACTACTTCAAGCATCACTCACCCACAAGCTACAATCATCCTCCCACTACTTCAAGCACCAATCACCCACAAGCTACAACCATTCTCCCTCTTTCCTCCCACTACTTCAAGCACCACTCACCCACAAGCTACAAAAATCCTCCGTTTTTCCTCCCACTACTTCAAGCACCACTCATCCACAAGCTACAAAAATCCTCCGTTTTTCCTCCCACTACTTCAAGCACCACTCATCCACAAGCTACAAAAATCCTCCCTCTTTCCTCCCACTACTTCAAGCACCACTCACCCACAAGCTACAACCATCCTCCTTCCTTCCTCCCCACTATTCAAGCACCAATCACCCACAAGATACAACCATCCTCCCTCTTTCCTCCCACTACTTTAAGCACCACTCACCCACAAGCTACAACCATCCTCCCACTACTTCAAGCACCACTCACCCACAAGCTACAACCATCATCCGTTTTTCCTCTCACTACTTCAAGCACCACTCACCCACAAGCTACAACCATCCTCCCTCTTTCCTCCCACTATTCAAGCATCAATCACCCACAAGCTACAACCATCCTCCCTCTTTCCTCCCACTATTCAAGCACCAATCATCCAAAAGCTACAAATCTTCCTCCCTCTTTCCTCCCACTATTCAAGCACCAATCACCCACAAGCTACAACCATCCTCCCTCTTTCCTCCCACTACTTCAAGCACCACTCACCCACAAGCTACAACCATCCTCCGTTTTTCCTCCCACTACTTCAAGCACCACTCACCCACAAGCTACAACCATCCTCCTTCTTTCATCCCACTATTCAAGCGCCAATCATCCACAAGCTACAACCATCCTCCCTCTTTCCTCCCACTACTTTAAGCACCACTCACCCACAAGCTACAACCATCCTCCCTCTTTCCTCCCACTACTTTAAGCACCACTCACCCACAAGCTACAACCATCCTCCCTCTTTCCTCCCGTTACTTCAAGCACAACACAAACACTATTTTTTTTTAATAGGTTCAAATACCTTTCATCACTTTTTTTCCTGGCTTGCCACCCAGCCTACAAATTTGTACAATAGCTAAACATATGATTTCGTTTTAAATTGTATGTATTGGCTGTCCCACATAAATCTTTTTCTTATAAATGTCAATATTAACTAGATTAGAGCAATATTTAAACAGTTGTAGCGCATAGAACACAATCGTAAATGTGTAGAACAATATACAAGGACATAATTTTGCATAATTCGTTAATTCCAAATTCACCAGACCTCTAAGAACATAACAGTTGAGAATTTGGGGTTCAACTTTGGAGGATGATATTCACAGGAAGTAGATGAACATGATTTATGTTTAATGCCAATAAAGGATAAAAAGACAACCCAATGACTGGATTGCACAATCTACGTGAGGGTTATTTATGCAGTATTTCGCTTAATGCAGTGTGTTGGAAATAAGGAAATATTCTCAAGTGAAATTTAGAGTGAAATACTATAGTAAACATACTATAGGAAAGCCTAAAGAGGAACATATTATACCCAAGTGTTATCTATCCTGGCACAACCCTCCATTCCCTCTCATCCTCCGTACAACCCTTCTTTCCGACCTACCGTCCCTACCACAACCCCCTTAAGAACATAAGAAAGAAGGAACACTGCAGCAGGCCTACTGACCCATGCGGAGCAGGTCCATGTCCCCCCCCGGATTAGACCAATGACCCCCCCCCCGGATTAGACCAATGACCCCCCCCCGGATTATCCCAATGACCCACCCAGTCTGGTCATCCCCACTTAGGGATGGAGCACTGTACCAGACCCAGCAGCACAAGCTAGTCAGGTCCAACTCACACCCACCCACACCCACTCATGTATTTATCTAACCTATTTTTAAAACTACACAATGTTTTAGCCTCAATAACTGTACTCGGGAGCTTGTTCCACTCATCCACAACTCTATTACCAAACCAGTGCTTTCCTATATCCTTCCTGAATCTGAATTTTTCCAACTTGAAACCATTGCTGCGAGTCCTGTCTTGGCTGGAAATTTTCAGCACACTATTTACATCCTCTTTATTTATTCCTGTTTTCCATTTATACACCTCGATCATATCCCCCCTAATTCTACGCCTTTCGAGAGAGTACAGATTCAGGGCCTTCAGTCTATCCTCATAGGGAAGATTTCTGATACATGGGATCATCTTTGTCATCCTCCTTTGTACGTTTTCCAGAGCATTTATATCTATATCCATTCTGTAATACGGTGACCAGAACTGAGCAGCATAGTCTAAATGAGGCCTAACCAAGGACATATAGAGTTGAAGAACAACCTGAGGACTTCTATTATTTATACTTCTAGATATGAAGCCAAGAATTCTGTTAGCTTTATTGCAAACACTAATGCACTGTTGTCTTGGTTTTAGGTTACTGCTAACCAGAACTCCTAAATCCTTTTCGCAATCGGTAGTATTAAGATCTACATTATTTAGTTTATATGTGGCATGGTTATTTAACTGTCCAACATTTAGAACTTTGCATTGTCAATATTAAACTGCATCTGCCACTTCTCCGACCATTGCGTCAGTCTATTTAAATCATCTTGGAGTGCTCTAATGTCCTCATTAGAATGAATTGGACGGCCTATTTTGGTGTCATCAGCAAATTTGCTTATGTCGCTATATATTCCCTCATCTATGTCGTTTATGTAAATTGTGAACAACAACGGGTCCAACACTGACCCCTGAGGAACACCGCTTGTGACGTGCCCCCATTCTGATTTCTCCCCATTTATGCAAACTCTCTGCTGTCTATTTGTCAGCCATGCCTCTACCAACAACGTTCTCACCCCCACTACCCACAATCACTATCCCTCCCTTCGTTGTACAACTCTCATTCCACTTCAATGGTTCTGCGAAGTAGTAATGGCAAGACTAACCCAGATGAGCCTCGGGGTACTGCGCCTGGATCTCTTTCACCCTCACCACGAACACTGCTGTTCTGTGTCGCTTCCTGCCGCTGTGATGCTGAGTCTGCAATGAGACAAAATGTTATTGTAAAAATTGCAAACTTGCAGTAAAAAGAGTCACAATGTCTTGGTTAGAACAAATGACAAATAACAAACAATTCAAAGCATAAAATTGAGATGCTTTAGGTCATAAAAAAATCACAACGGGTGGGGTTTGAACTCAAGGCAAGCGAGTCCTGAAACAAACTTGCCTTGGGTTCAAACGCCACCCGTTCCGTGGTTTGTTTGCAATCGTGTTGGCACGATTTCGTGAGTCATTTCAGGTTGTGTTGGATAGTTATCTAGTCTACTGGCTGGATAATGGACTCAAACGTTTTCTAAATCTCTCTCAGAAGTGTGATTTAGCTGTGACTGTATAACAGTAGAACTGAGATCATCTTCAGAAATTTCTGCAGAGGACTTTAATTGTAGATGGAAATAAGCAATACTCCAGTTGTTTTCCACTTAATGATCTGTACATGTATTCGCTTGTACCAGTGTTTATTCTACTTTTATAACTAAGCAAAGGACAGGTGCAGGAGCTCAAGTTACCTCTGAAAATGTTAACAAAAGTTCTGAGGAAAGTTAACTTTAAAACAGTTGGGCAAAAAAAATTCACTGAAAGGAAGAGAGAAAGAACCCATGGTATTGACAAAGGAAGAGAGAACACATGGTATTGACAAAGGAAGAGAGAGAACACATAGCACTGGCAAAGGAAGAGAGAACACATGGTATTGACAAAGAAAGAGAGAGAATGCATGGTATTGGCAAAGGAAGAGAGAGAACACATGGTATTGGCAAAGGAAGAGAGATAGAACACATGATATTGGTAAAGGAAGAGAGAACACATGGTATTGACAAAGGAAGAGAGAGAACACATGGTATTGGCAAAGGAAGAGAGAGAGAACACATGGTACTGGCAAAGGAAGAGAGAGAGAACACATGGTACTGGCAAAGGAAGAGAGAGAACACATGGTATTGGCAAAGGAAGAGAGAGAGAACACATGGTATTGGCAAAGGAAGAGAGAGAACACATGGTATTGGCAAAGGAAGAGAGATAGAACACATGATATTGGTAAAGGAAGAGAGAACACATGGTATTGACAAAGGAAGAGAGAGAGAACACATGGTACTGGCAAAGGAAGAGAGAGAGAACACATGGTACTGGCAAAGAAATTTACTATTAGAGCTAATATTAGTCTAGAAAATAAAACGAAGATCGTAAATAATTCCAAATTATTGAGAGAGACTGTAAAGGGAGAAAAATAAGTTATTGGTTTTGGCAGTGCAGAAAAAGATATAAAATCTAGAATAGAGAGAATCAAGGAAGAAGACGCAAATAAGACGGTAAAATGAATAAATAGTTGAATTCCAGGATTCCAGAGCAAACAGTGAGACAAAGGAGAACTGGAAAAATGTGAGAAAGATAAGCGCAGGCAGACGAGATCAACATTTGGTTGAATACCCCCATATACACAACTTGCCTTGTATGAATATTAGTCGTGGCTTTGTCTCTGTAGATGCCTTCCTTTCCCATTACATTGTAAAATGCTCCAAACTTCAGAACACCCGTGACTTAACCTGATTCTTTTTTTCCCTTCTCCCTCTTCCCCTTTCCTCTTTTTCCTTTGGGTTTTCTTTCTTCTGGTTGGGTATTTGTTCTGTCATTATTTTCCCCCCTCAGTGTTCTTGCTCCTTCCCTCTGTGGGCACCTAGCTCCCTTGCAGTGCTCCTCTTTCTTAGTATTTGACTGACTCCACTACTACTACTACCTCCACCACTACCTCTCTTGCTCCCGTCACTGTCTGCTGGCCTATATATACTACCTCCTCCTCCTCCTCTTTCTGCTAGTGTGACTTTGTAAATGGTCCAAGTCTGACTGAAACGTCGTCGTAAGCTCCTCTTTTCTATGTGCGGGTTATTTGTGTATTGTTCCAGTCGCGGTATTGTGCCTTTTTTGCTATTTGTTCTGATTCTGTTTTGTTGATTTTGACAATTTGTTTCCTATTGCTAAGGTAGGACTTAAGACCAGTCTACGGAACCTATGCCGATAGCTTGAAGTTTCTTACATAATATATTGTGGTTGACAGTATCAAAGGCCTTTTGCAAGTCTAAGGTGACCATTCCTATGAGGTTCCCTGTCGACATTTCAGTTTTCATGTAATCCATCAGATTAGTTAAGGAGGTGTCGGTTGAGTAAGATCTCCTAAAGCCTGACTGGTAACTATGAAGAATGTTGTTGTCATTAAGATACTACTTGACAGTACACCGCCCTCTCTAGAATTTTGGATATTACATTGAGTATACTAACAGGCCTATAGTTGCTTACATCAGATCTACTATTTTTCTTAAGATAGGAGTAACTCTGGCCTCCTTGAACCCCTCTGGTACGTTATTAGTGGTGATGGACAAATTTATTATGTGAGCAATGGGGATTGAGAATTCAGATGCACCATCTTTTAGGAACTTAGAAGGGATGTTATCTGGGCCGGTGCTCTGAGTTAAGATAAGATTTCGTTCGGATTTTTAACCCCGGGGGGTTAGCCACCCAGGATAACCCAAGAAAGTCAGTGCGTCATCGAGGACTGTCTAACTTATTTCCATTGGGGTCCTTAATCTTGTCCCCCAGGATGCGACCCACACCAGTCGACTAACACCCAGGTACCTATTTGCTGCTAGGTGAACAGGACAACAGGTGTAAGGAAACGTGTCGAAATGTTTCCACCCGCCGGGAATCGAACCCGGGCCCTCCGTGTGTGAAGCGGGAGCTTTAGCCACCAGGCTACCGGGTTGGGTTTAACCTTCTTATTTAGCGCTTCTTCTTTATTATAATAATTAACCTTAGTTCTTTTTGCACAAAGTCATGAGATACACTTACTAGTTGACAACTGTTTGGGGTTACCCTTTTTTTGGTATAGTATGTTTTAAACATATCAGAGTCTGTGTTAAAGGTATATGATGCAGCTGGTAGTTTACTTACTAGTGTTGATGCGACAGATGTGTAGTATGAATTAAAATAATTTGTCACTTAGTTGTTTCGTGGCATACCTCGTTATCGATATTTAGTACTATGTTAGATCTGTTTACTGGTTTATGGCTGTACACTAACTGTTTTAGTTGTTGCCAGAACTTTCTAGTGTTATTCTTGTACTCTTCGATTTTTTGAGCAATAGTGCCTTGCCTTTGCTCCTTTTATACGCCTCTGCACTCTGTTCCTCACCCTTTGTAATTCATTTAGTGCTGCAATATCCTGTCTGTCTGCCTTAAATCTTTTTAGCAACTGGTCTCCGAATTTCATATTATCTTATATCTCAGTAGTCATCCAGGGTTCGGTTCTCCGTTTAATCCTAACCTCTTTAACTGGTGCAATATTATCAAGAATGGTAGTGAACATTGTTTTGAAATTTTCCCAGGCATCATTTACGTCCGGATCATTTATGAGTGTGATCCTCGAGGATCACACTCTCCTGGTGAGGGAAGGAACACCCAGGGAATTCACACTTTCCTGGTGAAGGTTGGAACACCCATGAGGGATCACATTCTCCTGGTAGGGAGACCCCCCCCCCCCACCAGGAGTACAACTGTACTCCTGGTGGGGGGGGGTCAAGCTGACTCAATGACTGTTCACTTAAAACGAATGACGCAAATCAATTTGCCCCAAGGTACGAACTGAGAGAGAAGAGAGAGAGAGAACGAAAGACATTTCTTAATCAACATGAATGTCCACACAATCATGTTTAATATATCCAGCAGATACTGGAATTTCTTACACATTATACGATATTCCAAAAAGAATATATTTTTTTCCTGGATGCAACCCACAAAAGTGTGCTAATAAAAACAAAGGCCCGGTGGCCTGGTGGCTAAAGCTCCCGCTTCACACACGGAGGGCCCGGGTTCGATTCCCGGCGGGTGGAAACATTTCGACACGTTTCCTTACACCTGTTGTCCTGTTCACCTAGCAGCAAATAGGTACCTGGGTGTTAGTCGACTGGTGTGGGTCGCATCCTGGGGGACAAGATTAAGGACCCCAATGGAAATAAGTTAGACAGTCCTCGATGACGCACTGACTTTCTTGGGTTATCCTGGGTGGCTAACCCTCCGGGGTTAAAAATCCGAACGAAATCTTATCTTATCTTACTGCTAGGTGGTAAAGGGGAGCAGAGGTGTGGGGAAACTCGCTCACATGTTTCACTTTGGCAGGAAAATCGAACGCCAGACACTGCAAGTATGAGATGATCGCTCTCACCAGTGAGCTACCCGGCATCCCAGGAGGGAAGGAAGGAAAGATGGAGGGGAAGGAGAGAAAGATGGAGAAAGGAAGGAAGAAGAGAAAGATGGAGAAAGTAAGGAAGGAGAAAAAATGGAGAAGATAAGGAAGGAGAGAAAGATGGAGAAGGTAAGGAAGGAGAAAAAATGGAGAAGGTAAGGAAGGAGAGAAAGATGGAGAAGGTAAGGAAGGAGAGAAAGATGGAGAAGAGAATGAAGGAGAGGAAGATGGAGAAGAGAAGGAAGGAGAGGAAGATGGAGAAGAGGAGAGTAACATGGAGAAGAGAAAAAATAAAAGGGGGATGGAGAAGGAAGAAGAGAAGGAAGGGATGAAGAAGGAATGTGTGGGGGAGCTTGAAGCTTGACCTTGAGAGGCCACCCACTAACCCCTCCCACCCGAGCCCCTCCCATGAGATCCCCCACCAACCCCCTCCTTCTAGTGGATACCCCGCCTCTCAGTTCCTCCCCTCTCCCGCCTGGGCTGCCCCTCCCTGGGCTCCCTCCCTGCCCCCTCCCTGGGAATACCTCTCCTGCCCCCTCCCTCCCTTGGCTTCCGCTAGCCCCCTCCCTCCCCTGCCCCTCAAACACACGCATACACACACACAGGAGCCATGAATCGACCCCTGCAACCACAAATAGATGAGTACACACACACACACACACACACACACACACACACACACCACACACACACACCAAGCAAAATACAAGCTGGACTAAAGTTCTTGGTGCGAAACTAGTGCTGGAGCTGAGACC